CTTAACCACTTCCCAAAAATAGCTTTGATCTTGGCACTTGTCAAATAACTATAATTTATTGAAGGATTAACATTGTAATTAATTCTTTGATATCCGATGAACTCTAGTTTTATGATTTATCTCAATTGTAAAACCATGAAAGTGACAATATTTTCAAAACTTTGGATTAAATATTTTTCGAAACTCTTTATTGATATTTTCAGAACTTTAAAACTAAAAGAGAAAGAAAAACATTTTTTTCAATCAAGACAGTCTTTCTAGAGTGGATCTTGGTAAATGACATGTGACTCTTAGACACAAAACTCATGCTCAGAATCAATGCTGAAGCAAGAAATGAGGAACATTTGGGGCATCTTTGGAGATTCAATATCAAATATTGGGGCATTTTTAGATATTGGGGCATCATTTGGGGATTCAACATCCTAATGCAAATTATCAGACCTTTTTTAGAAGATAAAATATAACTAATTCATGTTACATGCATCTTATGCATACATTTTAGAGCATCATATTTATCATTTTCTACATACATAATTTTTTACAGTTTTTAGAGTCAAGTTTCGACTTCAAGACGAAAGATACTCGATTCAAAAGCACCTTTAAAGATTGATGTTGGTTACTTAACTCAGCATCAAGAAGTTACACTTCAACCAACTCGACAGATTAAAAGATCGACATTCATCTTCAGATTCGACATTTCTAATATAAATTTTGTCTCGCTTGAGACAGTCTCATTTAAAACAAGATTTTATCTCGTTTGAGATAGTTTTTCTTTGAAACAAATTTCGTCTCCCTTGAGACAGTCTTCCTTGAAACAAATTGTCTCCCTTGAGACAGTTTCTCTCCAGACAACACAAGTTCAACTTCACGACGAAGGGACCGCTGGTTGTCAATAAATAATTTCCCAATTTCAAAGCCAATTTCAACTTCACAGCGAAGGATATTGGACTCAAGACAGCACAAGCTCAACTTCACAGCGAAGGGGCGGCTGACTGTCAACAAACAGCTTCTCAATTTCAGAGCCAATTTCAACTTCACAGCGAAGGATATTGGACTCCAGACAACGCAAGTTCAACTTCACGACGAAGGGACCGCTGGTTGTCAACAAACAACTTCTCAATTTCAGAGCCAATTTCAACTTCACAGCGAAAGATATTGGACTCCAGACAACGCAAGTTCAACTTCACGACGAAGGGATCGCTGGTTGTCAACAAACAATTTCTCAATTTCGGAGCCAATTTCAACTTCACATCGAAGGATATTTGACTCCAGACAACGCAAGTTCAACTTCACGACGAAGGGACCGCTGGTTGTCAACAAACAACTTCTCAATTTCAGAGCCAATTTCAACTTCACAACGAAGGATATTGGACTCAATACAACACAAGTTCAACTTCACAACGAAGGGACGGCTGGTTGTCAACAACAATTTCTCAATTTCTCAATTTCAGAGCCAATTTCAACTTCACAACGAAAGATATTGGACTCCAGACAACGCAAGTTCAACTTTACGACGAATGGACCGCTGGTTGTCAATAAACAATTTCTCAATTTCAGAGCAAATTTCAACTTCACAGCGAAGGATATTGGACTCCAAAAAAACGCATTTAATAGCACGTGGGTTAAGTTTTGAACGAAATTGGCATGGAACATGAACATAGACAGTACTTCCAAAAACTTTGATAGGTAATTCAGAAAACAACCTTGTTCTAGGAAAAGATGATTTTAGGCAATCGAGTGGTGTTTTGTATGTTAACACCTTAATAGGCATCCTATTTATCAAGTAAGCGGCTGTTAAAACTGCTTCACCCCATAAGTATTTGAGAACATGCATGTAAAACATTATGGCACGTGTTATTTCAAGTAAATGTTTATTTTTTCATTTTGCAATGCCATTTTGTTGAGGGGTATCTCGACATGTAGAGTGATGAAAAATCCATTTCTCTTTAAAAAAATCATCTAAATGCTCATTAAAATATTATGTTCCATTGTCATAATGTAAAATTCTAATCTTGGTTTGAAATTGGTTTTCAATCAGAATGTAAACTTTTTTGAATAAATCTTTCACGTCATACTTTTTATTCATTAGATAAATCCAACATAACTGTGTGTGGTCATCAATAAAAATAACAAACCACCTTTTACCAGAAATAGTAGTAACTTTAGAAGGGCCCAAACATCACTATGAATCAGATAAAAAGGTTTGGAGGCATGATATTCTTTTGGTAAATAAGGGGAACGACGATTTTTTGAAAAAAATGCAATTTTCACAATAAAAAGAAGAACAATCAATCCCTTTAAATAATTTTGGAAATAAGTGTTTCAAATAAATAAAACTAGGATGTCCTAGTCTATAGTGCCACAACATTATTTTTTCTCGAACAGAAATTGAACTAGTACCACTAAAGCTCTGAACTTTTTTATTACTGATAGATACTTCATCAAAGTAATAAAGACATTCAATCATCCTAGAACATCCAAACATCATCCCCGAGTTCCGGTCCTGAAATTCACAATGTGATTCAAAGAAGGTAATGCAACACTTAGAATCTCTAGATAGTTTATTGACAGACAAAATATTGCAAGCTAATTTAGGGACATGAACATTATTGAGATTAATTTTCTCTATCAGTTTAATGAGTCATTTTCCTGCAATAGGTGAAAAACTACCATCGGCAATTCTAATTTTTTCATTTCCAGGGCAAGGTAAATATGTATTAAATAAATGAGAAAAACTAGTCATGTGATCTGAGGCTCCGAAATCTATTATCCACGGAGAGGAATTTGGACAAGAAAGGGCTTTAGGATTACTAACTGTTTGTGCCAAATAAACACTAGGAATACCGGATGAGAAATTGGATTTTATCAGTTTCAAGAGTTAATCAATCTGCTCTTTGTTGAAGGGACCTGAGTCAACTTCACTTGCAATAGGAATTCCACAATTCTTCTCTCCTTGCTTGTTGCTTTTTCAGTTAAAAGGTTTGCCATGAATTTTCCAACATTTCTCACGTGTATGGCAGGGTTTGTTGCAAAAATCGCACTAGACCCGTGGTTTATCATCAGACCTGCACTGGTAGTTTACTGCCTTGTAGGCTGCAACATCACTCAATAAGGCATAATTTTCAATTAACTCACCAATACTCCTATTTTTGAGCATGACATTCCTTCGGTTTTCTTCTCTTCTAACTTCGGCAAATATTTTGCCAATGGATGGAAGAGGAGGCATGCTAATAATCTTTTCTCGTACTTCATCAAACTCAACATTGAGGCCGGCAAGAAACTTGTAAATACGAGTATCTTCTACAGTTTTCTTATGGTGATTACAGTCGTCACTACTTTTCCATTCGTATGTTTTGAAGAGGTCAAGATCCTGCCACATCTTTTTCAACGAATGGAAATATGTGGTGACAGAATTATCTCATTGACGAATCTCCTCTAATTTTTAAGTCAACTAAAAAAAAACCTGAGATTGGTTGCCCATGTCAGAATACATCTGACTAACATTATCCCACAATTCTTTTGCAGTAGGATAACACATGTAATTGGAGCTTATGTCCTCCTCCATGGAATTGACCATCTATGTCATAACCATGGAGTTTTCAGCATCCCAAGTAGCGTACAGCGGATCATCAACAGCAGGAGCCTTCTTGTCACCAGTGATGTAACCAATTTTCCCTTTCCCACGAATATACATCCGGACTGATTGTGACCATCGGAGGAAGTTGTCACCATTTAAGCGGATGGTGGCGATTTGGACAGAATGAGAATTGGAGTGGTGCTGCAGAGTGGCAGCAGCAGGGGTTGAGGTTATTTTCGGCGCGACTTCGGACATGGCTACGGTGATTTTGGAACTGTTGTATTTTAGGGTTAAGACACGATTATGGCTATGATACCAAATTAGAAAAAAATAAAGAAATAATATGTGTCTTATTTCTTGAATGAGTACAAGGCTCCTTTTATACAAAGGGAAATTACAACAAAAAAAGAAAATAATTAGAGCCAATATTTGACGGCTTCTACTTTCCTATTTTTTCTTGATTTACATCTTTTACTTTCATATTTACATAGAAAACATATCCTAGAATATCTCAAAGATTATGACTAAATCAAGGCTTTCAATGACCAAATTTTCAACAGATAATATTATTTATTGCAAAGATTCCTAAACTGAATGCATTTGCTTGTTTCTTCCACCCTTTGAATAAACAGGTCCTTAGAGAAAGATAAGCATGAAAAGGTGAGGAAAGTGATTCCATATTGTCTTGGATTTTTATCATGCCTATATGGATCTTCCGATGGTGTAGATGGGATAGAAAAATGTTTCTGCAAACTATTTTTAAATATCGAATATGAGAAACAGGTCGAGACATTAGATTATTTACTACAAGGATTTTGGTGTTCTAAGTGTGATAGAAGCATTTTGCACAATGATGAGCCAAATTCTAAAATCATGCTCCCGCAGGAACCAAATAGTTTGGGGAGTGGTCACAATTTTGATTTTGAGAGCCTGCTGGTCCGAGGCTTCCAACCTTGATGGAATTGAGAGCCATCCAAAAGGGTCTAGCTTTTTTTGAATCTATTCGACAGAGATTTAAGGTACGATTGATTATCGAGAGTGATAGTAGGGTGGCAATCGATTGGGTTAAGGATGTTGTTTTATGTCCTCATGTTTATGTTCAAATTGTTAAAGACATTATTCATAAGCTCAGAGATTGTGAAGGTGTTATTAGATGGGTTAATAGGACTGCCAATCTAGATGCAGATGTCCTAGCTTAGGCTGGTATTGGTTTATCCTCATGTTATTTTTGAGGGATGTTTCTTTTTGGTTTTCTATCTCCTTAAGGGAGTTAGGAGTTGTATTTCTATGTACTTATTTTATTGTTAATGAAATCCTAGGGCACTCTTTTCCTCCTTCCGCTGATTAAGGAATTGTTTTCAAGTTCCATTAATCATGAAGGGGGTTTTTAATGAGGCCTATTATTCTTATAAAAAAAATGTTTATAGTCAACTCTTCCTATTTTCTCTTATCTTATTGGTTGATCAACTGGACAATCCATACTTGACTGTGAGAATGAATGCATCACGACTTATACACAAAGCTTGTTGTTTCCATTTTAATGGAGGATTTGAACTATTGCTTTCTAAAGCTGTTAATCTTCGCAACAAGATATTTGATTATCTATCTACCAGGCTTGCAAGCCGTCCAAAAATGGTGATAGAGTTTGCAGAGGCAGTTCTTGGTGTTGAAACTAAAGAGCTACTTAACAAGATGATTCCAATCGTTCTTCCAAAGCTTGTAGTTTCACAGCAGGATAACAATCAAGCAGTTGAAACCTTAAACGAGCTGGCCAAGTGCTTAAACATTGATGTGGTACCTCTGATAGTAAATCGGCTGCCAAAAGTTCTTGCGTTTGGGCTCCACCAAGCAGATGAGGAGTTGATTTCTGCTTTACAATTTTACCATGCACAAACTGGTTCTAATAACCAAGAAATTTTTGCAGCTGCATTGCCTGCACTTTTGGATGAACTTATATGCTTCCTTGATGGCGGTGATTTGAATAAGATAAACAATAGGTATAAACCTTCCATCAAATATTAGAATCTTATGAATAAAATTACTAGATTTGTCAAATGATTTTATTGATTAATTTTCCTCCTTAAAGCGAAATACCCTTTTATATCCTTTGCATTAACTTTGCTGTGTTTGTTTGTGATGGTGCATGTTGGCTTGACTTTGAATGGTCTGTTGTTTACTTCATTTCATTAGTTCTGTGCACATATCCTTTTTTTTAACTCAGTTACATTGTATTGTCTTTTTGGATGACAATCGGAATTTCAATGTTTTACTGACAACACAAAAAGTGTTTTTGAGTGCTGGTGGGCACTGTACTGATTTTGATTGTGTTTCTATATAGGTTAGATAGAGTGCCACATATGATAAAAAAGGTTGCTAGAGTGCTGACTGATGCTAAGGACCTTCCAGGCTTCTTGAGGAATCATTTTGTGGGCCTCCTTAACAGTATTGATAGAAATATGCTCCATTCAGAGGATTTTTCACTGCAGAAGCAAGCTTTAAAACGTATCGAGATGCTAATCAAAATGATGGGTTCACACCTGAATACCTATGTGCCAAAGTTAATGGTTTTTCTCATGCATGCTATTGGTAAAGAATCACTCCAATCTGAAGGGCTCTCTGTATTGCATTATTTCATTGTGCAGCTGGCAATGGTATCACCATCTAGCACTAAACATGTAATTTCTCAAGTTTTTGCTGCTCTTATACCCTTGTTAGAAAAAGATACAGAAAATTTGTCTGCAAATTTGCATAAGGTGGTGGAAATTCTAGAAGAACTTGTATTAAAGAACAGGGTTATTTTGAAGGAGCATATTCATGAGTTTCCTCTTTTGCCCAGTATTCCAGCTTTAATGGAAGTGAACAAAGTTATACAAGAAGCCTGTGGAGCAATGACTGAAAATTCAGTTACGAGATGTTGTTGGTCTGAATCATGAGAACCTGAATGTAAGATATATGGTAGTCAGCGAGTTGAGCAAGTTGCTGAAATTAAGAAAGGAGGATGTTGCAGCTCTGGTAAATGGAGAAGGTGGTTCAGACATGGATATTTTGAGCTCTTTGATTACATCTTTGCTCAGAGGTTGTGCTGAGGAATCAAGGACTGTAGTAGGACAACGGCTAAAATTAATGTGTGCCGATTGCCTTGGAGCTCTTGGTGCAGTTGACCCTGCAAAATTAAGGAATGTTTCATGCCAACGCTTTAAAATTCAGTGCTCAGTTGTTGACCTTATATTTGAGATGATTCATAAGCATCTAGCAAGGGCTTTCAGGGCGGCACCCGATACCATTGTTCAGGACTCAGCTGCTTTGGAAATACAAGAGCTTTTAAAGATCGCAGGTTGTGAGGCATCACTGGATGAGAATGTTGCTTCTATTGCACAGGTTAAGAAGGATAAAGAGCCTTTAAAAACTAGTTCCTTGGGGATCAAGGCTTCTGAGAGTAGCACTGGGAACAATAGTAGGGGTCAGAAATTATGGGATCGGTTTTCTAATTATGTTAAAGAGATAATAGCCCCTTGCTTGACCTCTAGATTTCAGCTTCCAAATGTGGCTGATTCTGCATCTGCGGGACCAATTTATAGACCTTCAATGTCATTCAGAAGGTGGATTTTCTCTTGGATAAAAAAGTTGACTGCACGTGCAATCGGATCTCGTGCAAGCATATTTAATGCTTGTCGAGGTATAGTTCGCCATGATATGCAAACAGCTATGTATCTATTTCCATATTTAGTCCTCAATGCTGTCTTTCATGGCACGGAAGAGGCACTGCATGGTATTACAGAAGAAATCCAGTCAGTTCTTAATGCTGCAGCTTCAGAGAACAGTGGGGCAGCTGTTTATGGAGTGACTGGTGGACAGAGTGAAGTTTGCATTCAAGCAATTTTTACTCTTCTTGATAATCTTGGTCAGTGGGTGGATGATGTTAAACAAGAGCTTGCTCTCTCTCAGTCTTTATCATCGGCTTCAAGGCAGCAGGCATCCAAGTCTAAGGATCAAAGTTTGGCTTTATCTGCAAGTCAAGATCAACTACTTGTACAGTGTAAATATGTTTCTGAGCTTTTAAGTGCAATTCCAAAGGTTACCCTTGCTAGGGCTTCTTTCAGGTGTCAGGCCTATGCAAGATCTTTAATGTACTTTGAATCTTTTTTAAGAGGAAGATCAGGTTCCTTTAATCCGGCTGCCGAGAGAAGTGGCATTTTTGAAGATGAAGATATCTCATATCTAATGGAAATATACAGTTGTCTGGATGAACCTGATGGATTGTCAGGACTAGCATGCTTACGTAAGTCACTAAGTTTGCAAGATCAACTCTTAATAAACAAAAAGGCTGGAAACTGGGCAGAAGTTTTGACAGTTTGTGAGCAGGCCTTGCAGATGGAACCGACCTCTGCTCAGAGGCATTCTGATGTTCTCAACTGTTTATTAAATATGTGCCATCTTCAGGCCGTGGTTACTCATGTGGATGGCCTAATTTCAAGAATACTCACATACAAGAAAACATGGTGCATGCAGGGTGTGCAGGGTGTGCAGGCTGCATGGAGGCTTGGAAGGTGGGACCTGATGGATGAGTACCTTAGTGGGGAAGACGAAGAGGGCTTACTATGTAGCAGCTCTGAAAGTAATGCTTCTTTTGACCTGGATGTGGCAAAGATTCTGCAGGCAATGATGAAGAGAGATCAGTTCTCTGTTGCTGAGAAAATTGCACTATCCAAACAATCTCTCATTGCTCCTATTGCTGCTGCAGGCATGGATTCTTATACACGGGCTTATCCAATTATTGTCAAGCTTCACTTGCTACGAGAGCTAGAGGACTTCCATACTCTTCTCATTGATGAATCTTTCCTGGAGAAATCATTTCATCTGGGTGATTTTGGATTCTCAAAAGTCATGGGGAACTGGGAAAGTAGACTCAGGTTTACACAACCATCACTCTGGGCTAGGGAGCCATTGTTGGCTTTCAGGAGATTGGTTTTTGGTGCCAGTAGCCTTGGTGCTCAAGTTGGGAACTGTTGGCTTCAATATGCAAAGCTCTGTCGTTTGGCTGGCCATTATGAAACAGCCAACCAAGCAATTCTAGAGGCACAGGCTTCTGGCGCACCAAATGTTCACATGGAGAAGGCTAAGCTTCTATGGAGCACTAGACGCTCTGATGGTGCCATTGCTGAGTTGCAGCAATCTCTTCTGAACATGCCAGTTGAGGTTGTAGGCTCTGCAGCAATATCATCAATTTCTAGCCTTTCACTGGTTCCATTAATCCCACAACATTTACCTTGTGATACTCAAGCTATGAATGAAAACCAAGAGATTGCGAAAACCCTCCTCCTATATTCTAGGTGGATTCATTACACCAGGCAGAAACAGAAGAAGGATGTAATAAGTCTTTATTCCAGGGTGAGGGAACTGCAACCCAAGTGGGAGAAAGGATACTTTTATATGGCTAAATACTGTGATGAAGTACTTGTTGATGACAGGAAGCGTCAAGAAGAGAATTTTGAGTTAGGTCCCAGGATAATTCCCTCAGCTTCTTCCATTTCTACTTCAAACTCAAATACTGAAAAATACTGGTGGTATTACCTTCCTGATGTACTTTTATTCTACGCAAAGGGGCTTCATCGAGGTCACAGAAATCTTTTTCAAGCTCTTCCTAGGTTGTTAACCTTGTGGTTTGACTTCGGGAGCATTTATCAGCAGAGTGCATGTGCCTGTAATAAGGAATTGAAAAACGTCCAAGGGAAGGTAGGTTCAACAATTCAGTATGAACTTTTTCTGTTATTTCATTTAAAAGCAGTGACTTTTTTTAGCTATTCCTTAATGATGGACACCGTTTATGTGATTCATCTTTTGGCAGGTAACTAGTATAATGCGAGGCTGTTTGAAGGATTTGCCAACCTATCAGTGGTTAGCAGTCCTACCTCAGCTGGTTTCTAGAATTTGCCACCAGAATGAGGGTATTGTTAAATTGGTCAAGAACATCATCATTTCTGTTGTCCGGAAATATCCACAGCAAGCACTATGGATTATGGCAGCAGTTTCAAAGTCCACAGTTCCTTCTAGGCGGGAAGCAGCTGCAGAAATCATTCGAGTTGCACAGAGAGGTTTTAGCCAAGGAACTAGTGGTAACAATTTGTTTGTGCAGTTTGCTAGCCTGATTGATCATCTTATCAAGCTGTGTTTCCATGCGGGCCAGCCAAAATAAAAAACTATTAATATCTCAACTGAATTTAGTGCATTGAAAAGGATGACGCCTCTTGGAATTATCATGCCAATTCAACAATCTCTTACTGTCAGTCTTCCAACCTATGATGTGGATCTCACTGAATCACTTTCTTCTGATATCTTTTCTGGTGTGGAGCTTCCTACGATAGCTGGAATAGCTGATGAGGCTGAGATTCTTTCATCTCTTCAGCGACCTAAGAAAGTATGTAATTCCCAGTTCCTGGTTTTCTTTCCCAAAAGAGGGATATTTTTTTCTTTAATATATTTTCTTGTACCTGTTTAGTTTGGTTGGGTCACCAATCACCTACCTATATCTCAATTCTCATAACTGTGTCTAGAGCCTGCATTTAAGGTAGTCTGAGAAAGCATTATGAAATTTAAAATAAAATTTCCTATATTTGTACCTGGGAATTTTATAGTGTTTGAAATGCCATGTAATCCACTTCATTCCTTTTCTTATTGTTCTGGTCTAAATTAAAGACTCTAAGTCAAGTAGACTTCTGAACTAGATAGTTACGTCATAGTTTTTTAGAGTTTCTATGCTATGTCACTTATTGATGAATATGGTCTCCAGTACATGCTCTAAATCAATTGTCTGGGGAGTCTAAATAGTGAAATGTTACATCATCTTCATAACCCTAAGACCATTGTGTTTTCAGATTGTATTATTGGGCAGTGATGGCATTGAACGTAGGAGGAAGATGCCTGCATGATGGAGTTTACTTGCAATGATAAACCGCTTACTGTCAAAGTACCCTGAAAGCCGTAGGAGGAAGCTATACATTCGTACGTTTGCGGTGATTCCTCTTACGGAGGACTGTGGCATGGTGGAATGGGTGCCCCATACTCGAGGTCTACGGCATATTCTTCAAGACATTTATATCACATGTGGCAAATTTGACAGGCAGAAGACAAATCCCCATATTAAACGGATTTATGATCAATGCTCTGGTAAAATACCAGAAGATGAGATGTTGAAGAACAAGATTCTTCCAATGTTCCCACCGGTTTTCCACCAATGGTTTTTGACTACTTTTTCAGAGCCTGATGCTTGGTTTAGAGCTCGAGTTGCTTATGCTCACACAACAGCTGTGTGGTCCATGGTTGGGCATATCGTGGGTCTAGGTGACCGACATGGGGAGAACATTCATTTTTATTCTACTACAGGTGACTGTGTTCATGTCGATTTTAGTTGCTTATTTGATAAGGGATTGCAGTTGGAGAAGCCTGAGCTGGTGCCTTTCAGGCTAACCCAGGTAAATACTCATGGATTCATGTAATTTTGCACTATCTCTGGTTATCCTTGATTCGCTAAATTACTCTAATTCGTTGAATGAAAATATTAGTCTTATTCCTGATCTTCGTTTTAGAGCATGTAGTACTGCATTGAAAGTAATTTTTGAATCACATGCTTTTGAAATTTGGGTTTGCATTTATGCTGTTTTCTCTTAACATGGAACGCACAGAACATGATTGATGGACTGGGCATAACTGGATATGAGGGCATCTTCTTGTGGATTTGTGAAATAACACTTTCAGTTCTGAGGACACATAGGGAAACCTTGATGAGTGTTCTTGAAACTTTCATTCTTGATCCTCTTGTAGAGTGGACAAAGTCTCACAAATCCAGTGGTGTAGAAGTTCAGAATCCGCATGCACAGGTTTGGATCATCTCTTTTCTCTACAGTTTTTGCACCTTCTGACTAGTTCAACACTCATACCAAAGGTTTCATTATACAATGAAATACTTTTAGCCTACCAACTAAAGCATGTGTTTGAGTGGTGCAGCGGGCCTTGAGCATTATTGAGGCGAGGTTGCAAGGGGTGCTGGTCGGCGTTGGAGCCGCACCGTCTCTACCGCTAGCTGTAGAAGGTCAGCGTTTGATTGCTGAGGCAGTCTCTCACAAGAACCTTGGGAAGAAGTATATATGGTGGATGCCATGGTTTTAGAAACATGTAAATATCTTGGAAAGTTGTGTCATCTACCTATAGATGTGTATGTATAGAAATGTCTGAACAAATTAACTATAAAAATTAAATGTGAAAATACAACTAAATTTTGAAATTGACTAAGGTGGTGTTTGTTTTTGCAGATGTAAAAGGTCTGCAGTCTGCGGACTACATCTGCAGGCATCTGCAGCAGAAGAGGCGGACCAAAAGTCTGCAGTCTGTAAGAAAAAGACTGTTTGTTTTTTAACGTCTGCAGACTGCTAAAATGAACTGAAATATAAATAAACTGATTTTTTAAACTTAAAATAGTTTTATAATACTGAAATTTAAATAATCCATACAACTACAATAATAAATTATTTAAAATAAATCAATCCATATTTTAAAATAAATTAATCCATACTAATAAATTATTTAAAATAAATCAATCCATACAACTACAATAATAAATCAATCCATATTTTAAAATAAACCAATCCATACAAATAAATTATTTAAAATAAATCAATCCATAATAATAAATTATTTAAAATAAATCAATCCATATTTTAAAATAAATCAATTCATACTAATAAATTATTTAAAATAAATCAATCTATACAACTACAATAATAAATCAATCCATATTTTAAAATAAATCAATCCATACTAATAAATTATTTAAAATAAATCAATTCATACAACTACAAAAATAAATCAATCTATATTTTAAAATAAATCAATCTATATAACTACAATAATAAATCAATTCATATTTTAAAATAAATCAATCCATACTAATAAATTATTTAAAATAAATCAATCCATATTTTAAAATAAATCAATCCATACTAATAAATTATTTAAAATAAATCAATCTATATTTTAAAATAAATCAATCTATACTAATAAATTATTTAAAATAAATTATTTTAAAATAAATCAATCCATATTTTATAATAATTTATTATAAATTATTTTATAATAAATTATTTTAAAATAAATTATTTTATAATAAATTATTTTAAAATAAATTATTTTAAAATAAATAACCTTATTAAATTATTTAAAATTATTTTAATAAATAACTATATTTTATAATTGTTCTTGAAGAGGTTTGAAGACTTTTGAAGACATAAAATCAAGTCTGCACCAAAAAGAGCTCGCGCAGACTTTTGAAGTGCTTATGTCTTCTAAAAAACAAACAGTCTGCGAAACCTAATGTTTGCGCATGGTCTGCGCGACGCAGACATAAGTGGTTTGAAGAGCTTGCACAGTGAAAACAAACACCACCTAAGTTATTTATTCTAAAAAATTGACTAAGTTATTATATATAAAATATACAATTTTATTTAAACTTAAATAAATAAATACTTTAAAACCCCATCAAGTGATCGCATTGGTATGGAATATTGTTCTCTTTGGAGATTTTAGGTTCTACTAGTTGTGTATGTAAAGTGTGTGCACGTTATTAATTGATTAAGAAAATTCTGAACAAACATTATTTTGTAATCATAACTCATACTACTAAAAAAAATAATGCATATTTTAATGTGGAGCTCAGATAAGATCAAACTACCTTAAAATTAATAGCATTTAAATAGTATTAATTTTGTTCAAATTTAAAAGACTTTGAATTTTCTCCCTCCAAAGAAAATAGTTTAACTTAAATTAATTCATTAAAATCTTAAAGATCTGATTTTTTTTGGCCTTTTGAAAAAAAAATTAGAACATAGTTTTATTTTGTTATCATTTTCAGGTCGTGTTAAAAAATGTCTAATAAATATGTAATATGATTTTCTTGAAAAATAAACAGAAAAGGAAGGGAAAATTACAAAAAAAAAATGATTTCATTTTTAAAAATTTCAAGTCCCAAAAATTTTGATTCAAAAATCCATACATTCCTGGTGTATCAAGTTTGATATATGTCTCTTCATTCTATTTTTTGTGAAAATAAAAAACTTTTAAGTTCCAAAAATTAGTCCCAAACACTTTAATTGTGTAAAAACTCTACTATTCGTAAGTGATATCAAAATCCAAGTCTCAAAATTTAGTACCAAAACATTTCGATTCCGCTTGTTATAGTGGGTTGGGTAAAAAAAGTTACGGGACTTGAAGAACTCATCGATGGAGGATAAAGGTTTTTTAATTGGAGACCTGAAAATGATTGCGAAATAAAACATTACACTTATTGTGATAAAAAAAAAAATCTATAGTTAAGATAACAACTCTTGCTCCATTACCTTCTCGTAGGTCATCCTCATCTTTCTTCAGTTGTCTATTCCTTTTGAGCCCACACACATTTATACAACTATGAGATCCAAACCCAGTATCTAATACCTAGTAACTTGAAGGGGAAAAAATATGTATAACATAAATACATGAAAAACTGATCTCGTCCAACTTTTTATTTTTCTTTAGATCCTCCAAATATAAGTTGTAATTTCTCTTTCGATGGCTAGGTTCATTGTAAAATAAGCATAGTCCATTCCCATGGGGTTTATCCTTGCTTTCAGTTTTGGGATTGGTTTGAGCAATGGACTTTCCAGCCTTTCCATTGCCCTTTTTCTTAAAGCTTTTTTTCACCATCAGAACATGACTAGACTTAGATTTAATATTCTGCTCAGTACTTTTAGATACTAAATATAAGATCAAATCAGTTATCAACTCTTGACTCAATGGAACTCAAAGTCTATCAAAGTGCTCAATATAACCTTTCGTCTTTAACAAATGAGCGTTAACTGAAGCACTCTCAAACATCTTGCAAGAATGTAGTGCCTTGGTAGTCTCCTACCTTTCTTGTCTTCCTTGTTGCTGGAACATTTTCTTAAGATTGAAAACCATAAGAGCCTTCTGAAGTTCGTAACTCGTGGGAGATAACATTAGGCATGTAACATCAATGAAGTCATTTTGATGTTTCTCATAAGCATTCTTTTCAAATATAGTAGCTTTCGCATCTATTTCCTTAGGGTAAGGTTCATTCATGACATAAAACTTCCTTATTTATTTGAGAACAAATCTCAAGTTTCAATATCAATAAAGAAAATTAGTCATAATAAGTTCTCTTCTCAATGATGATCATAGTGACATAGTAGAATTGTTATTATTATTGGCCATATAAATAAACTACAAAGTTCAATAAGAATTTTGATTAATGAAAAACTCTCACTAAATTAATAATCCATGTAACGTCCCAAATTCCCTGTTAACAGTTGTGGGTTTACTCGAGAGGTCTATGTACCTATGTGTTTGAATAATTAGAATTGTTGGGCTAAGATTGTGCATAATGGAGTCAATTGGGCCCAAAAGCATTTAAAATGAGATTGAGATTTTTGAACCGTCAGTGAATAGAGAACCCATTGTGCAATTAGTCCATGGGGGAATTTAAAAATTGAATTCCCTTAATTGTGGCTTATGTCACACTGGTAAAAAGAAGACAAATATGGTACGCTTGTTTGTTTAACGTAAAACGTTTTTCGAAAAATATTTTTTTTATTTTTCAGTGTTTAGTTGGAGGAAAACTGGTTGGTCAACGTAAAACAATTTCCTGATCAATATAATTATCTTTTTGTTTTCTGAAAAATGACTTATGGTCTGATTTTTCGTAAGTCATTTTATGAACTTTTCACTTCAAAGAATAAATACTCAAAATAATTTTATTTTATGAATTTAATATTAATAAAATATTTTAATATTATTTTAATCAAAATATTAATTATTAAAATATTTAAGATATATTTATTAATATATCTAATAATATAATATTATAATAAAATAATCAATTATAGTATAACAATAGAATATAAGATATTATATTTTTATTCTAATAATATATACTAAATTATTAATAAATTTTATAGAGAAAATAACTTCAGTGACCAAAAACGCCTTATAATATACGATTTTAACCAACTTTTTTTGGATTTGCCAAAATGACCAACTAAATCGTAATGCGATCGATAATTCGCAACGCGATCTCCTGTATCGCAAATCAGTTTCCAGATTCGCAACGCGATTCTGACTATCGCATTACGATTTTCCAAATTCGCGTTGCGATTTTCCGACTATCGCAATGCGAATATGTAAATCGCAATGCGAGTATGACTATCGCAACGCAATTCTGACTATCGCAACACGATTCTGACTGTCGCAACGTGATGCTGACTATCGCAATACGATTTTCAAAGCGCCATTATTATCGCAACGCGTATTTTTTTTCAAATTCCAAGCACGAATATTAATATATCGGAACACTGAACCGTCCACAGTATATCCCGTAATCGCAACTCATAACCTAAAACTCTAAATCACAACTCAGTCCCATCTCTCACTCTCACTCTCTAAGGCGACATCCGTCCCCATCTCTGGCGAAATCCGTCTATCTCCATCTCTTAGAGCCACTCTCACAATCATTCACGGTCAGAAAAGGAAAATCAACCAAATCAACCACCGAGGGTTAGTTTTTTTAATTATTTTTAATTTGAAAATTTTGCATTATTATTAGGTTTTTCATATTGAAAATTGATGATAAGTTTACTGGTAATTTCAATAATAGATTAACCATTTCATTTAGATTGCTTATTAAATTCATTCGATTGCTGCCAATACTGGTAAACTGTTTAGTCTTTAAACCCTGTGAATTTAGTATTTGTCTTTGTTTTGTCTTTTGGTTGAAGTAATGCAATCCATTCAAGTTTCAATTTTAGTATTTGAAACCGAGAATCGCAGCGCGAAATGAAAATCGCAACGACAGAATCGCAATGCGATTTTAGTT